CAGGTCACACACCTGAACAAGGGACATCACACACCTGAACAGAGATCAGGTCACACACCTGAACAAGGGACTTCACACACCTGCAGAGCCCCGGGTGAGGTGCCACTGCCCCGGGCCATGTACCACACCTGTACAATGGGTCAGCTCACACACCTGAACGGCGGGTGATGTCACACACCTGAACAACAGGTGACATCACACACCTGTACGGCCATGGGCGAGGTGTCACTGCCCCAGGACATGCCACACAGCCGTACAAGGGGTCCTCTCACACACCTGCAGAGCCCTGTGTTACAGTAACATCTCAGTTATTATATTGTCAACATGTAATAACAGATATGTCAGTATTACAATGTGTCACTATTACAATATGTCCGTTTTACAATGTGTCTGTATTTCTCCACCACACTGCGTCTGCAGAGCTGACCAGCTGTGCTCCACACTGCAATGTTTGCCTTGGCCCACCCTGACTCATGGCTGATGTTTAAAAAACAAGCTCAGGCCACACTGCCAGCAAGTTCCACATTCAAAGCTTTTCTGGGGTGCAGGGACAGGAGAAATGATGTCCTCCTTGCCAGCTGTCAGAATTAAGCAGGCACTCCCTGAGGTGCCCACAGGGTGAAAATCTCCTGCAGGGACAGCCTGGGGTAGGCTCAGCCCGGGGTCTGGCTGCTCTGTGCCCTAAAGGTGATGGACAAAGCTGCTTTTAAGTGAAATTAAAGCTGAGTGCAGCCATTGGCCAACCCTCTGCCTTCCCCTGTGCACCCCAGTGCTGCAGGCAAGAGGGGAAGGCATTTCCCCTCCAGCTCTGGCCACCCCTGGATTAGATACAACATCAGCTGCTAAATGTGACACGCTGAGAGGAAAGAAGGCTCCTCACGCATCAAGAATTTCTTTAAGCAACAGCTGTTCTTCACAGTTCTTACCTGCCCACACACCTTCGTGGGGCTGAGGGATTTTGGCAGGGATGGAAGGGTGCTGGGAGAGTGGCCAGGCAGGACTGTGGCTGAGCCAGCTCCCCATCTCCCAGCAGGTCACAGGATTTCCTTCCCTCCATCCCCGGGCCAGATCATCCCAGAACAGATGACTTTGGGCTTGGGCAGCTTTCTGGCCCAACAAAGGATGGGTTTAGTCTGCTGGTGAGGGCTTCACAAGCATGGGGAGTAGATGAAAGGTGCCAAAATACCTTTCTTGAGCCACTTGGAACCCCTCTGTGACTACCGAGGTTCAAAAGTTACAAGCACTAATCATGTTTTGTCAAACAGATCCAGGTTACTCAGGGTAACCTGTGGAACCTGGAAAATAAACTGCTGAGGAAATGCTGGAAATGTGGGGGAATCAACCAGACTTTGCTGCCAGGGCTCAGTCTGGGCTGGATTACTGTCCTCGATAGTGTTGAACAAGAAATAACTGTTTTGTGGGAGTGCTGATGTTAGATCTGGGTCAATTGCATGGGTGATGTCATCATTCCAAATAATTGGAATATTTTTGTAGTTAGCAGACAGATTGTGAGAGCTGCACAGCCCCAAACAAGCAGAGTCTGTCTGAGAGCTCAGTGGTTCAGTTATTATCTACACTCAATCAACACAAGGGTCATTTGTGCCCTGAATTTCAGGAAGAATCCTCCTGCCCTGACTTAGATCAACACAGAGCGTGACAGAGCTGAGTCTGCTCATTTGCACTCAATCCAAAGAGCAGTGTGTCCATGGTGCTGGGCACCAGCTGGAATTCACATCCATGCCAGCAGCTTCCCAGAGTAATCCCTGTGATAAAGAATCAAAACTTTCATGAAGGTCTTGGCTGGGAATCTCCAAATAATCTAGAACAGGGCTCTTCTCCTGTGTCCCTGCGATTCCTGGGAGCTCTTGCTCACACCCAGAATTGCAGTTTTCCTCATCACTTGGGATTTGTCCCTCTTTCTTCAGGCTCACTTGAGAAGTGTGAGAAGTGTCAGACACACATTCCCTGTGTTGTTCTCTGCTTCTCTTTCAGCTGCATTCTAAGCTGTGCAATAAAATCTCTCACTCAGTGACAGGCTGCTCTCCACCCTTGGGAAAAGAGGAACTTCAGGAAAAACTTCTTGAGCATCTCCTTAACATCAACCAATCACTCCTGTTTAGTTTAGCAGGTATCTGGGAAAGGCTCCTATACAGCACTGTGAGGCAATAGGAATCTGCTGGTATTTCGGAATTATACAAACAAAAAAAGAAAAAGATGAATATTCCTTTTTACCTTCATTTCATTGTTCCCTAGTGTGAGAGACTGGGAAGACAGCTGGAGCAAACCCCACTCATACTCTGGACATGGCATTATTGAAATTATGATGTCTCTCTTGCAAATGAATAAAAGCTGGGCTCTGCTCTGGCTTTGGACTAATGCAGCAAAACCAATTTTAGTGGAGTCAGCCCTGTGTTAAGACAGAAGCACGAGCCAAATACAACAAAATAAACCTCTCCCTGGTACCTGAAATGACTCAGTTTATGTGGGTGCTGCAGGTACATTTGATTGAATTATACACACAGCCATGATTTTAAGAGGTTGATACAGTAGGCACCCAACACAGGGGAGAAAAACTCAACTAAATTAAATTAATTATAGGTAAATACTTAATAGAGTTAATTGAGCTGTGGAGGTTACTCAGAGTGCAAGTTTGGTAGCATCAGGTTCCACCTTGCCTCTTTTAAGGCTTTCTCCCCTTGGAGCTTGTGTAGCTTGGCAGGTCCCAGAGTGCCACAGAGCACAAGTCCTGTAACTGACTGCCCTGGAAGGGTCTCAGGCTGCAGGAAGGAGCTGA